TTACTAACTTCATTACATACTACCTCCGTCCCGATGAGTTTGGCCAGATTGACCTTTTGTAGTCAAATTGGATAAATTTTGATTATCAATTATATAAAAATTACATTACATATTGGTGCAAAAATAATTTAATTAGGTTCAATTTGCAGTATGTTTTTAGAAAATCACTTTATTTTATTAATATGCATTGCCATTTTTATTTAATTGATTATCAAAGTTTGTCCAGTTTGACTCCAAAAAAAGTCAAAGTGGACAAACTCATTGGGACGGAGGGAGTATTACAAAAATATTTTAATAAAATAGGTCTAGAAAACATTAATATTTACAAACAGATTAGTTCTCCTAGCAAGAAATATTGACTAGGATTAATACTAGTTACAAATATAGATTATTAAACAACAAAATGGATATTTGATAATATCTGAATGAACTACCAAACCATAAATATATGGTAACATGAAACTTAAAACTTTTGTAGCCTACCTACTACAATTGTTGGCTATGCTCCACCGACTTAAAAATTACCTGTGAAGGCTACACTGCTAAAAGGAAGCTATAGCCACCGGGCTCTAATCCCGATGAAAACAGTCGCTTGACAACATCAAGGGATGGAGCTAGGGAGGAATGAATTTGATGTGATCAGTATCACAACAATATTTCATTAATATGAATCCTGTTTCTTTTTAAATTTTTTTTGGGGCCAAAAGTGACCAATGGCGGCACGATGCTCCATTGGCAGGTCGAGGACCAATGGCGAGACTAGTTTACGGTTAATGACTTCACTTGCGATTCATCTAATGATTAACATTTCTGGGGATGCAATGCCACATTTCTCACTTGTGGGGTCGAGCTAAAAGTGGTTGAACAAATTTGAAAAGGTGGGGACATGTATGTAAATACATGCATGTACGTTGTCCAGTGCGTTGCTAGCTTGGGATGTACTCCGTATATATCAAAAACGACAAAAAGTGCCTAAATATGATGCTCCGTATTTCATTTTTGTGAAACCTGAATCCATTTCTATTCGTACAAACTGCGCTGCATTTGGTTTATATTTGCAGGCATATACTCTAATATAATTCTTTTCAATTTGATGCTTTGGCAGGTAGTTGCTGGCATGACTGGCAAGAAACATGGCTAGCAGAATAGGTTATGTACTGCTTCGGAATTTGAACTTATTGTATTCCTCTTTTGCCAGGTCTATTAATTACTCCTCTGTTGGGTTATCTCCGTTTCCGTATTTTGCATGGTTCCCTTTGTATTGAGTATCATGATAAATTTTTTATATTTGTGAAAACTATACTATTGGTTGAGAGATTATAGCAATAAAAAGATAATCTCTTATGCTATGTCCCAAAAAGCAACAACAAACCCATTAAGGTATGAGGGGGGTTTAATGACACCACAACTCAAGCAAAAATAAACTACCAAAGTATACCCAAGAGCACAAATTAAGAACATAGCAACCACAAAGAGCAAAGAACAAACTAAGGACAAAGGAAGCACACTTGGAAAAGAAGCACACAAACATTTTAAGTCTACTCTAGATCTCCAAACATTCATATCTAAGGACATGTCCACAATTAGGTCCAACATTTTAAGTCTTGTTTAATCACTTTCGACTAACTCTTCCTAAGTTTACTTCGACCAACTCTTCCCAAGTTTACCTTACCTCATCTCTCGTCTAGTATTGTAAGGCTCTGTTCCGTTCAACTTATTTTTTCTGATTGATTTTTTGTAGTTTTAATTTGATTTGATCTGTTCTAATTTGAATAATAATAATAATAATAATAATAATAATAATAATAATAATAATAATAATAATAATGTTGTTTAGATCTGATTTGATTGGACTTGATCTGATCTGGTCTAATATGATCTGATTATTTGACATGGATGTTTATATTTACATATAAAATCTTTGGTAAAAGTTTCATGTTGAAAAGACTTGTCAATAATGTCTAAATTATTACTCCGTATTTTTAAGTTTTGGCCTCGAGCTTTAGGGTTACCATCACATTTTTTGGCCAAAATTTAAATTCATCAAAAAAATTACCAAATTTGACATGGATGATTATATTTACATATAAAATCTTTGGTAAAAGCTTCATATCAAAAAGACTTGCCAATAATTTCTAAATTATTATGTTTTTAATTTTGGCCTCGAGCTCTAGGGGTACCATCACATTTTTTGGCCAAATTTTAAATTCATCAAAAAAAGTTACCAAATTTGACATGGATGTTTATATTTACATATAAAATCTTTGGTAAAAGTTTCATGTCAAAAAAACTTGTTAATAATGTCTAAATTATTACTCCCTCCGTCCCAAATTATAATGCATGTTTACTATTCACAGGGTCAAACTTCATTTACTTTCTTTCTCTATTTTCGTTAGCAATTTGATAAAATAAAATATTATTATCACTACTAGTTTTGTAGATCTTTTGATGTAGTTTTTTAATATGTAATTTTTATTTTTTAATTCTATACCATTTGTCATATAAAATGGTTTGAAAATAATTTCAATCAAACATCGTAAACCGAAACAGGTGTTATAAAATGGGACGGAGGTAGTATTTTTTAAGTTTTGGCCTCGAGCTCTAGAGGTACCATCACATTTTTTTGCCAAATTTTAAATTCATCAAAAAAGTTGTCAAATTTGAGATTGATGTTTTTATTTGCATGTAAAATCCTTTGTAAAAGTTTAATGTCAAAAAGACTTGTCAATAGTATTTAAATTATTATTTTTTTAATTTTGGCCTCGAGTTTCATGGGTACCATCACATTTTTTGGCCAAATTATAAATTCATCAAAAAATTGCCAAATTTGACATGGATGTTTATATTTACATCTAAAATTCTTGGTAAAGTTTAATGTCGAAAAGACTTGTCAATAATGTCTTAATTATTACTCCCTCCGTCCGGATTTCAAGTTCCCACTCTACGCTTTTCTCCGTCCGGATTTCAAGTTCCCAGTCTACGTTTTCATACTCAATCTTCCTAAATTACCCCTCCCTCATCCGTTCTCGTCATTCTCGGCCTGCCGTCCCACACAGCACCAAACAGGTATTTTCTCTCTCTTCCCCCCCATTCCTCTTCCTTTCCCGTCTCCTCTCTCTGTCTTCCTCTTCCTTCCTCCTCCTTCTTCCACTCTTTCTCTCTCTCTTCCTCTCCCCTTCCTTTTCTTCTCCTCGTCATCTTCTTCCTCCTCTTCCTTCTTCTTCTTTCCATTCTTTTCTTGCTAGATCTAACCTTCCTTTTGTCATTTTCTTCTTCTATTAGAGTTGGATCTCGTTTTTTTTCAGATCTAAAAATTTAGAGATCCATTTGTGCGGGGTTGCCGGCGATGGTGTCGGCGGTGGTGATGGTGGCGAGTGGAGCTGACGGCGGTGGCGATTTGCACCTCCAGATC